ACCATCCCGTGGCCTGCAGGGCCTTTATTCTTGTCCTGGTTTCAAATTTAGTCACTGAGCTATAGAGTTTTATGAATGGACCACTAGATCTTAAATATTTCAGATCATTTAGAGCATCGCCTCATGGTATCAAGGTTCCATATTTCGCTCATAGATTAAAATTAATGTATACCCAACCAACATTTTAAGCTGATTAAAAGCTGGTTAAACTATTAATTAACTGAAGAAGCATATTTTTGCCTGAATAAGCTCTTAGTCAGCGAACTAGTCCTGGGTCAACATTCCGGTCCCAAATTCAAATGTTGTCATAAAATACCATAGCAAGTGATATGAAAATAAATTGCTGAGCTCATAGTATAAGTTTTATGAATTAATCATTTGGTCAAGCGTCAGTATTCATTTTCCATCAGATGTCACTGTTGTTGTTGGCGGTGACATCTATCGGAAACTACACATAATCTGTTTTCCGTTAATTGTTCACAGAGGACAGTGCAGTGTAAAACAAGTCTGGTACCTCCGAAGTCCCTCATTTTTTAGACATTCTGCACACAAAATAGCTCACCCCTCACAGAATTTCCCGACTATTTCTATGAAGTATCTTTTGTGCAGAATATGTAAAAAAGGAGAGACTTCGGATGTTGATCAAAATGCATATAAAGAGGCACCAGACATGTTTTGTAGTCTGTGAGAGGGAAATCACAAAAAGAGTGTCATCAAAATACATGGCATGTTGAGAAATTGAACTAGTGAGAGCAAATTTTCTCTCTTGAATTTTAATTTTTTGGCTCTCTGGGGACTGGTAGTAAAGAAGGTAAAGCTGTATGGGAACAATAATTTTTATTTAATTGTAGCTTGTTTAACAATAATTTCCGGGAAAAACTGAACGACAAAGTCCCTGACTAATTTGTTTAGATTTAAGTAGGTTGCCATACACTACCGATCATAAGTTTAAGGACACCCCCAAAAAACCATGCAAATATGTTTTGTTCAATGATCTCTCATTTTACGTTCAATTTTCGATCTCCAAAGGTTATTTGAATTGTATGAATTTTATAGCATAAGCACAGACAAACAGACACAACACTCGCAAGTTGTTCATCGAACAAGCATTTAACGGTCAATTCAAAAGTATCGTAGTTGGTAGTACCGCCACCTGTGGCGCGCATAGTTAATTCCCTTGCGTTTGACGTTTACACACTACCGCCATCTGTTCAGCGTACTACCCACCACAGTGTACTCAATAAATGGCGGTAATGTTTTAGCGACGATGTTTTACAGTGAGAAATATTCAATGTGTTATGTCTGTTTGTCTGTGGCATAAGTGTTTTACTACTACTTTTATTTCAAAATTTGGCAAACACAATTCTGAGAAAATCAGTCACGATTCTTCAGAGTAAATTTTGAAAAATATTGTAACTTTGGGTGAACTTTTAGCACATAAAATTTGAAAATTATATTGAACAATTTGCCTACGAGGATAGTTCCATTTAATACCTTTCAAATGATCTAAAGAGAACGAAAATTGGACGTAACATGACAGAGATATGAACATAACAAATTTGTCATGTTTTTTTGGGGGTGTCCTTAAACTTATGATCGGGAGTGTAGATTCAAATTCATTTTCAAATCTTTTTGAAAAAATCGCGTAACTCAACGATTTGTTTCTGCTCGTGGTTCTACGATTAGAACCCAGATTAGCAACTACCGGTGTGAATGTAAAAATCATAAATTAAAAACCTTGATAGCAACCTCCGACGAGCAAACAGATTGCTAGCTAAAATAGCATCAACCAAAGATGTCAAAATAGCAGTCCGAATAGTAACGCACCGGTAGGGTTGCTCTTAGTAGATTTTAAAAAATCACGCGGTGTGAATACAGACCTCAAGTCCTATGGATTGACGACCTTAAGAGCTAGCTATAATGTCCCACGTGGACACAGATTTTTACCCCTCTCTCCTCCTGCGTGGACAATCAACCATACAAATTTAAACAAATGTATAAGGAACATGGGCATTTCATGGGCAACAGTCCACGTGGTATACAAACATACTATTAAGTGAATAATGACCATTCTATGGATTTGCTTATTTCGGAAGCATAAAAACAAATTCATGTTCGATGTAATAACACTCTTTCCAATTTCCAAAATCTTAAAAAAATTGATTGCAAGTCTCAAATCTGAAAAAAATGTTAACCTGAATCTCAATTTTATCATGTTCAAGATTTCAAAATCCCTCCTTCGCTTTCCCTCATTCGGCCTAGTGACCCAACGCCATTTGCTGTTCCATTATCATGACAATTCACAAAAGACACAAAAGACAAACGCGGTCAAAGTTAACCACAAGCAGAACCGCGTAATCAAAGCCACTGTTCCCCTTTCCACGGATCAACCATGTGAGCAGCATTTTGCCCATGTCAAAGCTGCGCGGTGAATGCCAAAGCGAATTCCACACCCCCGCAAACACAATTTGCGCTTGATTACATTTTAATTTTTTGCCATACTTTGCTTGTTTACCTGCTATATTTACTTTGCCACTGAATAGACATCTCCGACAGCAGCAAATACAGAGTGTTGCATCATAATTAATTAAACTCCACTATTAGGGGTTGGGTCAGGTCGGGGAGGGGGTTTGATGAGAGGATGATCTTATCATATACATCCACAACCCCGCGATCCATTACCACCATCGCACAATTATGAATTCTGCAAATATTTACCCACTTCAGGTCATGGATGAAATCAATTAACATACAATTGCAATGAGACACGGAGTGTCGGAGCAGGGGGCGCGTGAGTGGTCAAATAAAACCGCAATTCGATACGATAGGGAGTCTCTGGTTAACGGCAGCAGCTGTCTAATTGTGATGTAAGTGAGAACGTGTCAATTAAGACGGCAATTGATGAAGACTGAATCAAAGGATGCATCAGACAATAGTAGCCCAACCAAGACAACACCACAGATATTCTGAACTTTCTCACGAAGCGGGCTGCAGCTGATGAATCATAACCGAGATCGGTGCCAGCGTTATAACTTTATGTTTGTTTGTGGCTTCGGCCGAGTAATCGAGATGATGCGATATAATAGTAGTGACTTACGGAAATAGTGACTTAGGGATTCAAATACGGTTTGATATTGAAATAAACTTTTTGTGTCATGGAATTCAAATTTCATAAATGCCTCTAATTTAATCGAATCTCACAACGGAATCTCCTGTGAAGAGCATTTGAAGTGAATTGAAGTAATTTGAATAATTTACTTTTGCATGCGTTATACATTATCACTAGTAAATAGTCATTTCCATTTTTTTATGTTCTTGAATTTGATTCTTCGTCCGAAATCTTTAAAATTTTGATTTATCTAGGTTATTTGATAATTATGATAATTAGAAAGTGGAAAGCGAACAAAGGTCAATTTTGAGGGCGTTACGAATCGGGTAGATCATCTCCTTTACCAAGCTCATTCGTTAATGAGGGATGGTGAGGGGTGTTTCCCCCTGCCACCACTGGCGAAAGAGATGATCGTCGATTTGCTCATGTACCTCCGATGTGCGGAAACAGTTCTATCGATTGTTTCACACTCAAGTCGCCATCTGACGTTAACAACTACCCGATTCGTACCATCCTCAAAAATTTCCTTTGCTCGCTTTCTACTTTGTATATACAATTTTCACACTGCCGTACTATAATGGAACTATCAACTCTATAATTTAATCTCCTGATCCATCGTTCAAAATCTCCACTATAAGTCTGATATTTGACGTTAAGCATCTCCGACTATGTAAATCGTTAAATTCACGCATGAAGTAATAACACATGGTTAGTTAAAGTAGATCACTTTCGACTTTTTATTGATTCTTCTAGGAACTCCCTGAAGGCTCTTTCCATAAATCCATATTAAATATATTTGAATACTCCTTAGAATGTCCATGCAATTAACCTCAGAAATTTCATAATTCATAATTAATTTATTCTGCTTAGAATAATCTTGGACTTCTCCCTTGTATTTAATTGGAAATTCAATTAGTATTCTCCTTAGAATTCCCATAATATTTCCTCAGAATTTTCAAAACATAAATCCATCACAGAATAGCTTTGAAACTCTTCTCAGAATTCCATTGAGATTGAACCTTCAAAATTCAATTCCATTGGAATTCTCGGAATTTATTTCGAACTCTTTAGAATTCTCCTGGAATTTCAGAACTAATTTTGTTAGAATTGGACCTAGAATCCTCATCCAATATCTTCATGGAATTCTTCTCAGAACTCTCGTTAAATGCACTCTCAACTATATTGGAATTATTTCCAAAACTGTTTCGGAGCTGAATTTTGCGTCTCTAATAATTTAAACAATAATCAAAAACTACGCTCGTATGTGTTAAGCCAAGTTTAACTATAAAGGTAAACCTAGCTAAAGATTTAAACGGAGATGAAGAAATCGGTTCTCAGAGCACTTAATTTTACATGAGACTTTATTAGTCTGTACTTTGGTATTCTTCTCTGATATATCTTGGTGTCATCTCTAGAATCCTTTAAAATTCTCTTAAAATTTACTTTGGATTTTTTTAAATTCTTAATCATTCTTGAAAGACTTTTGAAAATCTATCACAGACAAATACCTTTGGAAAGTTTTCAAGGTTTACAATTTATTTTCTGGAAAAGTAGGTCGATTTTTAATCGAAATTGAAGGCATTTCCAAATAGTTTTCCTGGTGTTTTAAAGTTTTGCGGATCACTGGTCACCCTGGTTAAATTTTTAATTTTTTTTAACGGATAAACTGTAGACTTTCTTCGTGGCAAGTAATCAATTTAAACATTTTGTTGATATTTTTAAATTTCACTCTATGTTATTAGTGAAAAAGTGGAAATAGTGACTTAAGTGACTTTTTGGTGTGACCAGCCCTGCGAGATTGATTGATTGATCTTTCTTATAGTGGGATGATCTTGTGCCTAGGTTATGGATTTTGTTTTGGCACGTTTTAGTGCGAGGTTCAGGTACTTACGTATTCGAAGCGGTCTTTGCTCAGCTGCGACATGAGATGCAGGAAGCCGAGTACGGAGAACCACGATACCCATAGGATGACCTGGAAAGAGATGGAATTTTACGTTACTAGATATTTTGGGTGAATGATGTGGACATGTGCATCGATGATTTATTTGACAGCGGTGGCGGTGGTGTCACGATGTGAGCAACATTCGGCGGCTGCAGTGGTCGTGGTGTGCATCGACGAGTGTTAAACTCGTAAAGTACAAGGGCGAGCGAATTTTATTATTATTATTATTATTTTATTTTAATTTTAAAATAGCTACTCGGTCTCAGTAATACCACAACTGATATGCAATTCACACAGGCCTTAACTGGAACACATCATGATAGGAACGTATATCCATAACTGGTACACCAACCCTACACCTCTATTCTCGATGGTAGTACAGACTTAAAGCCTTTGGAAGATGATGATGACGTGTAGGCAGCTGGATCAGCAAATCGGACCGCCTAATCCCATATTCTTCGGTTCAATGATTGGGCACTCGCAAGAGTCTCGGCCCGTCTGCTGCTGGACAGGGGTTGAACTGATGTCTACGACAGGTTAAAAGGCCGCAAAATATCAGTGTCCACCCAGCTAACGCTCCTCCCCTTTTACGTTTTTCTCGTTAAACTCCTTATCTCAACAAGTTGGTAAATCTGAGCCTTCAGCAGAAAGACGCTTAACACTTTTTTCGGCGAATTTATGATCCTGTTTCATGTCACGGTTCTTCTCTATGCCTGTTCAGATAAATTAGTACTTTTATTTATTTTCTCTACTGCGCTAAATCAAACAAGTAGAAATACGAAGGGATGTTGGTTACGCAATTGAATAATTGAAAATTCGATAAACATTTAAACGAATAGTTAGAAAAATCTCTACGATTAATCGTTAATCGAATAATTGGACTTTTAGGCATCCCTGTAATTTCATGTTTTTTGGTGTTCCTTCGAAAATGTTGAACAGCAGAATTGCAACCAGCAAGTGTAACCCAAGAATCAAAAGCGGTGCGATGCTAGTTTTCATTGCTATGACGACGACTGAATTAAGGGGCTTAGAAGCAGAGGGGCGAAAGTCAATTTTCAAATTTCCTCTTTTGATGACCATGGCTTCACTAACCTATTTCGCACTATTTCTGCTATGCTCTTGTATCATCCAGAACAACAAACCTATAAATGAATGTGTTTGCCGTCGAGTTATTAACGAAACAGAAAGTCGATGAAGAGAATCGATCAAAATCACTTGCACCCCTGCTTCCAAGTTTGATTACAAGATTACAACACTGGAGAGCATTTTGTGTGGCCGTTGGGGCCGTGTGGTTCTGAATATGGCGATGAGTGTGTAAAAGTTTTGGTAATTGCATCCTCCCTATTCGCACACGCCCGAAGATTGGAGGCAAATGCCACTTCGACTTGTTTCGTCTACTAACGACTCGCTGATGACAGTGTTGGGGGAGCAGTAATACTACATCGACATGTTTCGTCTAGAAACGATTCTCTGATGACTGTGTTGGGGAAGTAGCATATGCATGTACGTAATTGGAGGATTTGTTAATTATTTCGACGCTTTTGGACAATGCTAAACATTTACAACTTTTTCAATAGTTTATTGTTGAAAATAAATAATCGGAAGCATTGCGTAGGAATATTTCTGATCGATTGGTGATAAAATTATTGAAATTGGTCCGGGGGCAGCTGAGTTATTAACGTTCAAAATCTTACAGGTTCCATTTTCGGTTTTCATAAAGTGTACCCCCATATAGAAATCTCAGACGTAGTCCTCGTCAAAAAATACAAAAAATGAGGATACTATGTACCTAAAACTAATCGTTTAGACACAAACAAATTGATTCCACCCAAATACGGTTGCTGGACCATTGCACAGTGGTCCAGGATGGGAGTTTGGCAGGAAAACTGTCCTAGAATTTTGTTTTAATATTTGGACCAGTGGTTTTGAACCTGTTCGTTTCAAGCACCGCTGTATCCACTGGGCAGCTGTATAGAACCTTTCTGCCCAGGAAAATATCGTTTTTGACATTATATATCTAGAAAAATAAATTAGGCCCTTATTTCTGATTTTGTTTATCTCACAGCACAATCTCAATTTTGATATTATATTGAAAAAATAGGCCTAAAGTATTGCTTTTATTTGTCTCGGTTGTTTCCGGGGCGCCTAAAACATGGTCAATGTGGTCCTGGACACTTCAAATGACTGCCATGGACATAGCGTGTGCTAACACGACTGAGAATCGGTCACACGCGGCTAACCCATACGTTCTTATTGAAGAAAGAAGTCCCGCCCAGTTGTTGTGGAACGGTTTTAGACGTGTGACACGTGATTTTCCAGTGCAAAAACTACGGCAACGACAAGAGAACGACATTGACACAAGTTTACGAGATGCGCTGGGAAACTCTGAGGGGCAAACCACCAATTTGCTGAATTTTCTACGCCAAACTGAACTTTACCGAAAAATTTGAAGGATGCAGAGAAAAGAAGAAGGAGCAGCCGAAACCCGGTGTAGCGGCAAAAAGGTTAAGCAGTTAACGGAGCAAGGAAGGAAGGAAGAATGTAACATGTAACAGGATGTAGGTGAACTAAGCTGGAGAAAATTGATATGGTCATGTAATGAAGAACACAAAGCGGATAGCGGATAGAACTTAAAGGAGAAACAACGTGAATTGTGCATTGAAGTAGAAGCAGAAGATGAAGAGAAGATTTTGGATGAAGCGAAGTATCAGATGAAGGCGGAACTAAAAACGACGCTGAAGAAGAGGAAGAAGATCAAGAAGATAAAGCGAAAAATAGCGAAATGAAGAAGAATGGGGAAGAACATTTATTGAAATGTGCGACAATTACTAAAGAAAGTGTAAAGAGGCGGAGATGCGGGTGAAGAAGACGAACCAGAAGAATATTCTGAGAAATAAGAAGATTTAGATTCAAGGCGAAACATCTCCAAAGGTTATTTGAATGTTATGAATGGTATAGCATAAGTGTTCTACTACTACTTTTATTTCAAAATTTGGCCAACCCAATTCTGAGAAAATCAGTCACGATTCTTCAGAGTAAATTTTGAAAAATATTGTACCTTTGGGTGAACTTTTAGCACACAGAAGTTGAAAATTATATTGAATATTATATTTGCCTACGAGGAAAGTTCTATTCAATACCTTTCAAATGATCTAAAGAGAACGAAGATTGGACGTAACATGACAGAGATATAAACATGACAAATTTGTCATGTTTTTTTTTTTGGGTGTCCTTAAACTTATGATCGGGAGTGTAGAACTCTAAAATGTCATGGAATCATTCATAAATTCGTATAAAATCAAAGAGCTTCACTGCACAAAATGAGCCTAAATCTTGTTTTGGTATGTCGGAAAAAGCATATATCAATTCAAGAGGCTTGAATAGGAGAAACGCAGTATTAAAAGTTCTTCAAATCTTCCTGGAGTTTAGATCTTGAAGTTCTATAAGCCAAATAACATTTTGTGGAATACAAAGATGTGTTACCAAAATATTTATGATTCTCCAAATTGTCATGCGTTACGCGTTACGCATTACGCGTTACGCGTTCTTAAAAATAACATTGTTGGATTATACAAATCATCCCGGATATCTGATCTTGAAGTTCTGCAAACTCAACAAGGTATACAACAATTCGACTTAATGATAGAATGGTTAAGCCTTCGCGAAACCCCATAATATCATTTGGTTTGGTATGTTAGGTTTTCCAAAATGCTTGAAGTTCAGATCTTTATTTTTTTTTTAATTATAGCCGCACCAAAATAAATTCGAAAAGCATAACTCTGTAAGCTATCGTGGTAGGAATAACGGCAAAATCACTGTTTGCCCCGTGCACGAATAGATTGCGAGTGAGAGTAGAATGTGCAATAATTTTGAAGATTTTTTATACTTTACCATAGTGAAAGACATAACATGAAAGTTGTAAACAGATGTGTAGATGAATGTGATATAAAATTCGTTGATTTCAAGTAACATTGCAAATTTTATAAAGCCTTAAAAGATTCTTCAAGACTATGATAAAACCAAAAGTGTTACTTGGGATGAGTATTTATGATATGATATGATTTCTCGGTGGAATTTGGGTTTTCCCGCATTTTTCTCGACAAATCCGAATTCCCGTTTTTTCCTAGATTTCCCGGTTTTCCCCGTTGGACACCCTGTTTTAAGCTGATTCCAGAACACAAAATTTATAAAAGGAAGACAATCTACAATTCAAGAATAAATTCGAAGGGGTCCATACCCTAGGTACATAGAAGAACCAGTTCTGTAGAATCTAGATCGTTGCAATCCATATACTCGTTGAGTTCTACATCAATTATGTTGACGATTCGTGCCACTGTGTTTTCCATCAGCGCCTGGAGCATCACTCTTATTTTCAATGCACTTTCTTCGATGAATTCACTAGGAGGGGCACATTTTTTTTTTCACAGCTCCGATCACATCGTAAGGTGAAAATCGTGAAGGTGATTCTCTATGTGTCATTTCATATTGAAATCTACTTAATCCAGTTGCATCGATAAGTGCACTAAAAGCTTCTTTTGCTGACATCATTCGCCGTTGATCAATTAATTTAGCCACTATTATTTTAGGGCTAATTTGATTTTGAATATATGCCCAATAGCTTTGACTATTCAGATCCTTTCGATTATAAGTGGTCTATCTTCCTAGTAAAATAAAGCTTCTTTGCGATCAACTGATTCATTACCTGATACGACGCTCTCCTCTTTCGCTCAAGTCCGAGAAAAGTTTTGAAGGTCGTCCACGTTTTGATTACTGGATGCCAAATGCTCCATTGAGCCACTTCTGAAGACAATATATAAATACTACTCAATTCGCTCTTTCGTGCGATTAGCTTCATGCCACTTGTTATTGTATTCAATGCCGATTTTATGGATTTTGGAGTGCAGTTTCGAACGCCTTTGGATACAGTTGTGTTTTAAGTTTGTTCTCTGTTTTGTGCGTGCATTCGCTTTCATAGTTTTCGGCTGCATTTGCCGGATTAGCCTCCCGGACGGTTATACTCGCTTTCCGAGAAGTTTTAGAATCGAGAAAGAAAACATGATTCATCATGTTTGCAAGCAACAGAAGATTTGACGCTATCTGCGTTGTTTGATCTTTTCCCCCGCACCAGAAATTTGTGGCATCGCGAGTGATAATTTTAATTTTAGTTTATTTACGCGGTGATGTTGGTTCACTCGCAACTATTTTTGAAAAAAATTAAGTGTTTTCGAACGGAGATTTTGAGTAAGCTGAAGGGTGCCTCGCTGGATACGCCCAAGACTGGACGGCCGGTTCCTGGGGAAAGCACTAGATGCGGCGCTCCTCCCAGATGACCATGACAATGCAGGAAGTATTACAACAAAGGTAATTGCTATTAGATATTTTTGCAAGCAGTGACAGATAGCGGACATGAAGAACCAGTGGAGGTGCCGGGCAAAGGTGTTTATCGCTGTTGTCTTTGTCGTAGGCGCCGTCGTAGTCGCTGTCGTAATCGCCGTCGTAGTCGTAGGCAGTACCGTTAGTATATTTAAAATGAACCACCAACCGCTGAAAATATGAATGATCGCGTATTTCTGTTCTTCATTACATACCAAGTGAAATTCGAGAACGTAATTTCATTTGAATAGCTTGTTTAACCAGGTCTTAAACAATCGTCACGTCGGTCATAGCTTGTTATGATTGCCTGAACTATGCGTAAAGAGAAAATCGAAACATCGAACGTCGCGTGAAAGTGGATCTTAATGAAGGCCTACGTACTCTTTCGTAGCTTTTAGTTTTAGGATTTCAAAGATCGTCGGTTGCTTACCGAGCAGAAAAATGCGGTCCCAGGTCCTTTCATATTAAAAATGTATGGTAAGATCGCTTGTTTATCGTGTATTTTGCAAGGTTGCAAAGACTCATTTCAGCTAAAATAATGTTTTTCGGAATAATAAAACCAAAAGATGGTATGATGGCATGTTTTACTTGTAACTTACAAGAAGAGGTTACAAAGTATGCGTTGGAAACATAAAACCTGTAAATTTTGCTTTCTATGAGTCACAATCAGCGATTTGCTGATCGCTGAGTGAGTGAGTGAGTGAGTGAGTTTGTGAAAAATCGCAGATTGTGACTCTCATGAAGTGAAATAAACAGGTTTAATATGTCAAACACATTCTTTGCAACCTCTTCTTGTATCCTACCAATTCAAAATTTGATCATGGCATCTAATTATTTCATAATTTAGAAAAACATTGTTTTAGCTTAAATGAGTCTATGCAACCTTGGTATTTTGTAAAACTTTTCGTTGTCGTCGGTGCCGGGTTTGAATAGTTATAAAAGCTTGAGTAACGCTATAATGTGATATGAGGGGCTTGGTGGCCTTAGAGCAACCGGTTTTGCTTACTGAGCAGAACATCATGAGTCTAATCTCAAGCCCATCCACATTCAAAATTCGTCAATCGTTTTATTTGTTAACATGACTACATAGTAATAACAGCAACTCGATGATTAAAAAGGAGCTCGTCTGCCTAGTGGCAAACGTTTTTGCTTACTGAGCAGAAGACCGTGGGTTCAATCCCAAGCTCCTTCGCGTTATATGATTGTTAGGACATCAATTCAGCTTATCGTTTACCAAAACGAACCCTGCTGCAAACCCAACCCTATTACCCAATATCCCAGTGATTCCTCGTGGAAGTGCAGAGGTGTTCTCGGCTTCCGTCAAAGCGAGTGTCACGTCAACACATTCCTACCCCTTTCTTTCTTGACCTGTGTTCGGGCGCGGCCGGCGCTGGTATAGCCTAATTTAAGATCACCAGTTTTTACACATTGAGGATGATTGCTAGTCCCAAGCATCGTCTATTGGTTCTCGGTGTAATTACAGCTGGTCTGGCAATAACAGAGTAGCAACCGTGGGCGGTCAATCATGCTCATGCTCATGCTCAATGCCGATTTTATGGATTTTGTCATCGAGCTGTTATATTTTTTACAAATGAATTCAATTACTCTTTGAACATTTTCACTATGTTTTAATTTCACGTCAAACAAATTAACAATGGGTCTGTTATTCATGGTTACACATGGTCTTAATCGTTAATAATGGCAATTAGATTACACAAAAATAATACCAACTATGGCTTTCAATTGACACTACATTAATTTAAATACAAGCTTGAAGCTTGTAAAGCTATAAGCTTGAATTAAACCCATGCGTACCATAATCGTCATAACTCAGGTACTTACATAAAAATGAAATATATGCGTAGCTACTACTGTAACATAGTTTAAAAATATGTTGACTTCTTTTGTGCAAACACTTTATTTAAAATTGGTCCTGAAATATAAAAAAAAAATATGTTTTCCAACAACATATTTTGATAGTACCAGCCAAATAAAATTCTAAAAGTCGCTAAGCAATCGATGAAAATTGCTGTCCGCCTGAGCCTGCTTGATCGATTTGAAATCTCCCATAGTGACCGAAAATTTTCAAATCGCTTTATTTTTCAATGGGGCAAGTTGGGGCAGGTAACTACTTCAGCACTTGTTAGGATACACTCCAAACATGGCCCGGAGCTAAAAATTAGTCAGGAAGTATGCGAGAATCGAATGTTCATTTAAATAATTTAATTTTTTTTTTTTTTTTTCAGTTTTCAATTGTTTTTATTTTCGAATAGCTTGTAACATCGTTTCTCAATCTATGGGTGGCGACCCTCAGATGAGTCGCGGAAATTCAGACAACATGGTCTTGTTTTTAATATTTCGAGCAAAATACATCATGTTAGGATAATCCTACAGTAACCTTGGTTTTAATTTGTTGCAATTAAATTGGCTTGAATTGCGAATTACCAATTCTCTTTTTTTTTTTTTTTTTTTCCTCGATTTGTTTTCCGTCGATCTTGTTTTCCGTGCTGAGCACCAATGCTACCGACGCCAGGAAGGCAGCTCCCACACCTGGACCCTTATCGACTCATCAACTCATGAACCGGGGACCAACGGCTTTACTTCCCTTCCGAAGGAAGGCGTGATCAGAGATGTTATGCCTCAGAACATCCCGGCGGCGCCGACTGGGATTGAACCCAGGCCTGCTGGGGTGTGAGGTAATCACGCTTACCACTACACCACCGGCGCCGCTTATTACCAATTCTCATGTGATTTAAGGTAACATGGATGTTTGCCCTACTTAGCTAGAAACTGGGACCGGTGGTTCCCAGAACATGACCAGATGTGGCCAGTAGAGTCATGTGCTCTGATTATTACTACCGTTGAACTATCATGCCATTTGATGTGTCACATGATGGGTTTTATTTATTTCAGGCCGCATAGTTTCAGATCCATTCCAGGCCAAATAGAAAAACAATTTTTTTGACTCGACCTTCTCCGATATGCATGAAACTTTAGATAATTGTATGTTATGGACTGATGTGAATGATATTTTCAAAAATTCAGCCATTTAGAATTTTGTAATTTTTTAAAAAATGGCGTCTTTTACATTTTTCAATAAATTGTAGCACGAAATCGTCACTTCTGAGACAAATTTATCCGGAAAAGAGAAGTGGTTTGGAAAAAATATACTCCATATTTCTTTTTTGAATAAAGAATCAAAAAAAGTAACGGTAATATTTCAAAGAGTTTTTTTTTAGTATTTATATATTTTTTAAATAATGCTCATAGAAACTTATGGAGTATTTTAATATCGTATCGATTGGCGTATTTGGATTTTAATTTCATCTACAAATGACAAAGTTACAAGCGTTCAAAACCTAACACTATTTCACCACACATGTTTTTTATTTACACCCCAGTATAATCGACAAAGACGTAGTTCTGCGTCAAAATACAAGATCCAACATGGCCGATTTTTTTGTAAAAATATGAATGATGCCCATAATACGCAATTATGGAAAGTTTCATGCAAAAGCTTTTCCGATTCGTCATTTGGCGTGGATCTGCTCTTCATGGAATTTACAAACCAGAACATGTTCCGGCCATACTTCTCCGGAACCAGATCACGATTCCAAAAATATTAAAAAAGTTCTGTGAGAACATAGTATCTTGTCCCACCCACATCTTTGAAGGTGGTTGCGCCTCTAGTTCTGACAATATCTGGGCACAAACATTTGATTTCTTTATGTCCTTCACACCATTATGGATTTTATTAGAGATTTGTGGTAGAAAAACTTCTAAAAAATTGCCAACTAGCAAAAGTTCGTTTTGAACACTCTTCCGAAAAAAATCATGTAATGGATGAGATATTTAAATTTTTCAACTAAGGTCGAACTTTTGCCCCACCTACTCTATATCTTAAACATCCATCTTGAAGATGAATGGGAAAGATTTGGAATTGCGGTTGTGTGAACTATTGGACTGACAAAATCGGGTAATTACTGTAAATTGATGCTTCTAACGCACACAAATGTACTGCAAATGCACTCCCACAAAAGTGAATGACTTGAAGAATGACCTAAAAACAATCTTGAACCGGTGTGCTGTTGATCTTTTTGCACCCCTGTCATTCTAACCCAGCCCCAACCACAGAACAATCGACAATCGCCGATATTAGGCACGCTTAAACTGATTGTATTATTCACTTCCGCCATTACAAAGCACACCACCACTCGTGATGATTATACGCACCGCACCAACCCAAGTTCGCCTTATCGCAGATCGCTTACTCACCTCGTGTAGATACTGCACGTTTACGACGCCAAACACGAAAATGAACTTGTAGAAGATAAAGTTCCAAAATTTGTCCTTCATGTGCTGTGGAGGAGGAGTAAGAAGGAAAAGAATAATGGTTAAAAAAGTAACACCAAAACAGGCAGTACAATAACTGCCAATTACTGATTAAAAAACCTTTTATCGATTTATTATGATTTAACGACGTTAAATGACTGCAGGGCTTGCAGGTAAAAACTACAACTAGAAAATCATTTGTTTTACAGCTGCAACAAAACAAAACTCGACGCTTCCGATCTGACAACCCTGAGGACAATATCCGCACTGCGCTCCGGCTGCTTCCGCGGAGTCTCGGATTTAGGCGACCCATCAAATTGACCTAAAAAGATTACCGGGTGTGTTCTCGTTTTTCCAGCACTCGCTCAGCAGCCATTTATCATTGATCAAACGAAGGAACGGACGAACGAATGAACGGACGCACTCCTTCAACCTGTTCCTCATCGCTGGTTCATGATGACTCAGCACCCGCCGCGGTCGAAATCATCACCCATCAAATGTCATTTGATGGATCGTAAATTTGGCGTTTGTTGGTACAAAAAACAACACACCTACAGCCACATACACACAGCTGCAATTTAGTTGTATTGAGCCTCGATAACATTTACAGCTGACTAGACGATCGCACAGCGAAGAATGTCCTTGACTGAGTTCAATGTCAGATCGGTTGTAGGCTTATGTTTTTTTTGGCGCGAGGCGATATATGTAGATCACTAAATTTTTTTAATAAATTAACTTGCGCTATCGTGATCGGACCTGTTGATCTCAATTTCCGAAAAATGGAATCACGTAAACAAACTGATTATTGATCTAGAAAAATATTTACTCCACTCGAAATTTACCTGTTGTTCGGAGATTCGCAATTCTCCGAAAACCACCTTCTGGATCGATTTTCCAAGCAGGATCAGACAGCAATAGGCCATGTTTATCAGTGTCTGTGAAGGGGGAAAAGAAAAAAGGAAACGAGAATGTTAGAATCATCGTTCAATATTTGTTAAGTGGCTAAATAAATATCTGACGTCAGTGAATTGATCGTTTTCGTGATTAGCATCAGTGGGAATGAGCAACAATGCATGCACTCATCTGGTGGTGGCAAATGATGAAGTGGAATGCGAATATACGCGGCACCGAAGTTGTCTGGCTGTGATTCATCAGTGGATCGCTATTTCTAGTACACATCAGGGTATATTTTTGAGGTAGGTCAAGGTTTGAAATCTGGTCTGTTTAGGTAGCGCAGTAGTGATTGCTCGTGGAAAAAATATAAGGTTAAGATCTAATTTTGGGCCTACTAAGAACAACCCTCACTTTATCTCTGTTTTTCGAGCGGATTTTTACACAAAATGAGTTCTTAATTTATTTACCTTTCCATAAGTACCGTAAGATTTTAGGAAGAGTCACAAATTGCTGAGATATTTTTTAAAGACTAACACTGCTTCTTGACTCGAAACCCAGGAAACGGATTCTAGTTCCGTCCTAACGCATTAAAAGAACATTGGAATCACTTTGGCCTACGGATGAAGTTAAAAACGGAATGGAAAAATTAATTCGGTCGAAGCGCTTCTTTTGTTTTTGATAAAAAAAAGGGTGTAAATATTCCTTCGGACCTAAAGACTTGGCCTTGTAGCTTTTGAACTAAAGTATCGTACCGAACATATAATTGACTCGCTAGCGCCGAAATCATAGATGTATGGAAACTAAGAAATGATTACCAACTTCGGTAAAACTTTGACCCTTATTTCAAAAGTTGTTTCACTAAATTTCAATTTCAAGACACTGTCAGCCAGTCTTGTTTAACTAATCTAGTCTTGATATTGTGATGAAATTTTCCTTGTTTTGAAGTTTTAAAACTAATGATTTTTACCGAACAGTTCAGCTGTTGAAAGTTCGGTAAAAATCAGCGAAGTCGGTAATCATTTCTAAGTGTGTGTGATGTTTTCTGCTCGATAGGCCAAAAATGGCCGATTAGGCCCAAGTATTTAGTTCTCTACCCTAGTTTTGCTCTATTCCTTTAAAGTATTCAAAACCGGTAGGTCTTGAACCGAAACTCTAATGTCATTCATTAACTCTAAGAGGAAACTATGTCTATATGGTAATATTGACCATGTGGTAGCTACTCCCTAACTGTAACAACTGCACAGAAGTTCAAAGCAGATAAGTCGACGTTGATAACTGGAGTTGAATCTTTCTCAACTATCTTAACAAGGTAAGGATGCAATTCAGAATTTCAATTTTTGTGGCATTCAACAAAAGAATTCATATAGAATCAGGAAAAGGTTGCATATTTTTTACACTCCGTTGAAAGGTTTTAAACCTATTGAATAAAAAGAAAAAGAAGGGCTTGCTCCTAATGTTAATAAATAACCTTGATTAATGTGTTACTGGTGACAAATGTCTTTTTTTCTATTCTTTTTTTGTTAATTGCTTTATTTGTACAGGCTCAATCGAATAAACTTTACAGAGCCAAGTTATCATTTTCGTTATACATTATAAATGTCTTAAATCTAAAATTAAGGGATTTGAACCGATTACTAGCGGTCTTCTCGAAGTTAGTGGATGACAATTGTAAACATGACAAACACATACACACACACACAATACAAACTTAACACAAATTTAATCAAACTACCAATCTATGGTTAATATTCTTAAAGAAAACATATATGAGCTGCATAAACTCCAGATCGCGTTTAGCCAAAATATCCCGAACTGGAACATTAGGTTGTCTACCTCGAGCTCGAAGGGAATCGTACAACTCGGATCTGACTCCACGGTGCTCAGCACATGACCAAATAATGTGATCTGCGTCCTGGTAACCTTGGCAACATTCACAGAGATTGCTGTCCCCCAGCCCAACACGGAATCGAGCAATGAGATGGGACCCATGCAAAGGTGATGACAAATGATCTTAAAGATAAAGCTCTCGTATTTTCATGAGAAAATAAGAGGAGTGCTTTACCGGCGAGCGAATAGCCTCGACAGAACTGAGACTATCCGTAAAAATAAAGTAGTGATCTGGTGAAAGTGGCAAATGCCTTTCTCGTATAATATTAAATAGCCCATATCTATGCTAAATTGATACAGCTTCCCGAGGATATCCAAAGTAAAGGAGTCTGGCCATTAGGCCGAACGTCGTTTGGCCGAATGGGTAATTTGAACGGATGCCGTTTGGCCGAATACTTGAGAAGGATTGCATCAATTTCCAAACAATACTAGATTCCAGTAAACAGCTTTTTCACACTGAAAATATATAATCGTTAATTCTATTAAACTCGTTTCGTAAAAATGGGTTTCATAGATAACAACATAATTTTCGTAAATTTTACGAAACATTCATGCTGCCTGGCATCTGGCACAATGCTGCCTTATTCGTATAGGGGAAACGCTCCTATAGTTGCGGTACGTTAGAAGCGTTAGGTTCCTATAGTTGTGTATGGAGACTCCGTACACAACTATAGGAACCTAACGCTTCTAACGTACCGCAACTATAGGAGCGTTTCCCCTAATACACAAACTGAATTTCGTGCATACCAGCAAATGCTTTTCTTGTCTTCTAAACTGCCCATTCACATTTGTGTTGCTCCCGTTGCTGATGGCTGTGGTGTGATGAGTTGTGTGTGAAAGAAAGGTTTCTACTGTTGTCGTTCCAGATATCCGCTCATATTTTTTGTTGCTGCGAGTGATGCTAATAAGAATGCTGGTGGGTATGAGATAGATGATTTTACAGCCATTCAGGAAGGTGGAACCACCGAGCTGATGTTGAAGGTGGGTTTATGAAAGACGGACTATACATCCGGCTCTGGATTGAAATGGTTGACTGTCTTCTAGGTAAAGTCCTCGTCGATAATGGGGAGGGCTAAATTTATTAACGCCTTCGTACATTCAACGATAAACAGAAATACAGTCCACATCGTTGCGGACCTATTTGCTTTTTACTGAAGGGAGTGTTACCGCTACCTAAAACTTCAACAAATTTAAACAACACTTCTAAGTGCTAAATTTTACCTGCAAGTTGTCTATCTTGTTCGAATCTTATTCCTCTGAGATGCTTTTTTGGACCCTACCCGAGGAAATCCTGGTATTGACCCTACCCGAGCTAATCCTAATCGATATCCAGATTTGGGCAATTCCTCAACGATCCTTCGGCTTCTTATAGTAATCTACTTGAAAGTCGATTTGGAGAACTTCTACCAACATGATAGAGAAGTTCTGAAGAGGATAGATTGATAGCTCCGCTAGAGTACGGCAGTGTGAAAATTGAACAGAAGTTGAAATTGAGCGCACACTCCTTTACCTAGATCATACATTGATGGACGAAAGGGATTAGAAATATTTCCCCAAATCTACAGGCAAAAAACTTGCTCCTATACTGTCTGCGGCAATGGAATAGTTCTAGCGACGTTTATCACCACCTAATAAATTATCGCACTAAAGGTTCATGTTGATATAAGTGTAGCATTTTCTCCCAACTCTGAAAGTCGTAAACTTCACGAACGAACACACTTCGATTGAATGTGATTTGGAGAAACATTATTCTGCTGCCATAACGCCTAAACGCAAAAGAAAAGGGCGATCTCTTGATCCCCCTTCTGATGACATTTATTTGAGCAATCAATTTTATATGCTCACGGATGATGAGAATGATCCATCATTCAGGCAAAATTCCATTAAACATTCCCGGCTTAATGCCAAAAAGGAAAAGGTCCCCCCTGTTGTGATAACAACTCCCGATTTCCATGCTCTTCACACGGAACTTTTGAACATCGTTAAATTGAAGTTTTAACTTCAAATTGGCCGTCGGGGTGAATGTCGTGTATTGGCTGAAACCTTGGACGAATTCAAACGTCTTCTCAAGTATTATAATAAGAAGCAACACACATTTTTCACTTATGACACCAAAACTGAACGTCTGTTCAAGGTTGTCTTGAAAGGTCGACCCAGTGGTGATTCCCTGGATCAGACCAAAGATGCATTGACAAAATTACTTGCAGTTGGAATGCTCGCATCAATTAAAGATAATGAAGACGAGCTCTTTAACTTTTTGAGAGTCAATAACGTGCATATCGCTGTTATAACTGAAACGTTCCTCAAACCTGACCATAAGGATAAAAGAGACGCAAATCATTTCAATTATTGAAATGATCGTCTTGATGGAGCCGGTGATGACGTTGCTATCATTGTTCATAGCAGGGCGTCACAATATCAGCTTCAATCGACCAAATCGATGCGACGAAGAGACTGCTGGCTTTCTTTTTCTGTTAAAGTCGAACAGCTTCGCAGCATTCTAGAACCTCAGTCGGCGTGCACAAACAAATGTTCAATCGCTTGTCTCTCTTTCTCCCGTCGCTCCATTGGTCTTTCTTTCAAGCTTCGGTGAAACGGATGAGCGAAATAGCGGTCGACTTTGATAGTTTTCTCTTTCATGAAACACATCAACAGAGGTTTCATGACGTATATGACGGAAAATGAAATAACAAATTTAAAGCATTTCTCACGTGAAAACACTTGAAGATTACACGTAATATTTTTAATTTATCTTCCATCCACATATTCATTTAAAAAAAATGATAGAAAACGGGACATAACGCATTTTAAACAAATTGAAAGAGCGGTGATAGAGTGTTCGTGAGAGAGGATTGAAAGCCATAATGAAGTTTCGTTTAACTAGAAAATCGACGTTAGTTACATTTTACATTGAAAGCCATGAGCAAAGCAACGACGAGAAGTTCCATAGCCAGCCTTTCCTTCTAAGCGTCCTGCTTTTTTATTTTCGTTTCTTGCTGATAGTCTAGCTAGGCGTTATAGAAATGAAGCGTCGAACACGTATGTATGAGAGAAACAAAACACGAGTTCATTTTAGAGCTTCGAAAATGTAGAGCCCTGGTTCATAGACGTCATCAAACATCAAATTTGAAACCAAAGTGTTTGAAACTTTGGG